TGAAGAAGGAAATTAATAAATAAAATAAGTTACTTTTTTTAGGCTGTGTTATGCGAAGCAAGATATTTTAGGTAATTTTTTATGATTTAAGGTTTAAAACTAAAGGAGTGTACCTTTATGCAGTACAAAAAAAATTTACCCAGGACCGAATTTTATGTATTGGAGAGGTCACAGAACTACTTCCCGCTGGTTCAAATCCTCAATCATTGATTCAAATCCTCATGAATCTTTAACTTTGAATCGGTAATTTAAGAGTTGAACCGGACCAACTACCGCAGTTGTTGGTAGTTCACCAACTCAGCTCAAATTCACTAAATTCGGTCGCTGGTTCTTTTAAGGATATCATCACTAAAGAATATTGACTATTTAATTTTTTTAAAGTTTATTTATAATTTATTTTAAGTTTACTTGGATTAGAGGAATTAGTTCTACAGCGATTAGAAGAAAAAGAAGATAAACCTGAGGAGGTTCTAGAGGAGTACGATGTTTTTAGGTACAATCTTAAGCCTGAGAGCGGGATCAAAATTACCACTTCTCCCATTACCGTAGTATTTTTTGAGGAAACTCTAAAAGTATTTGAGCTAGGAAGCTCAAATTTTCTGGTTTTCTTAATAACACATGCTCCTTATTTAAGACTGAAAACGGGGTTTTTATACCTACTGCCTGAGGACCTACTGCATGAGTCCTCCGGCATACTGACTAAAGGCCTTATTTTCCTATATCAGACTAAATCTACATTTGAACCTACTTGCAGTCATTGGATTTCAACAATTTATAGCTCTTTGGATATGGATAGCCCATACCAAAAGCTAGCAGATTGCACAATTTTTCCGTTCTTCTTGCATGCACATTTAGGTTTTGAAAATTTAGCCAATTTTTTTTCAGATTTAAATTTGCTGGGTCATGATCTTTAAAATTGTTTTATTTGTCGCATTTTGAGCAGTTTTTATACAATTTTTTTCAACTAACTAGATTTCGCAATAACTGGTTTGATTTTTGAAAATTTGCGAATTATTTTTGCAGATTGCTAAAGTAGACCCCAAGGGCTTTCCAAAAAAGTATCAAATGTTATAGATTTGTATCATAACAAGAAAATAGAGGGAGGGGGTCATTATGCCCCTCTCCCCTAGTCAATTTTTGGTAAACCAGACTTCAGTCGGAATAGGATGAATTGGCAGAGCTTAGTGTTTTATTCCCTTGCTTTTTTTTGAGAAAGGCGAAATAATACTTTAAGTTTTAACTTTTGTGACATACAAATTACTCCCTCTCCTCCTATCTACATTTTCTTCGCTTTAAACTTTTTGTAATTTTTGTGTAGGCCTATCATTTAAAATAGCCCTTGTCGGCTAGATAAGTCCTGACTATGTGCTGTATGTGTTATGCATAATAGTTTAAAAGTTATTATCATAAGTCGAAAATAAGTTAAAAGTTTAAACTATGTCAATCTGAAATGCGGAAAGGCTTGAGCATAAAGAGGATTGTGAAGGCATAACCCTGGCTAGATCAAAAAGCTTTTGGGCAATCCCTGGCGAATTGATTTGATATGATTTCAGAGGGGGGAAGTATAACTTAAGCCTCATATAAAGAAAATTTTGGAATTGACCTTTTTCTGTTGTTCAATTTGATACAAAAATTAGTTAATTTTCGACTTTAAAAGGTGAACAAATGCTTGATTCCTCTAAAATTAATTATTATATTGATCTGTTTTCATTTAGTTTTGTTATTCACCTTACACGAATTTGAAACAACAAAAAATGTAAATAAAACCTTTAAAAAAGTTTAAGCAAAGTTCTTTGTTATTTTAAAACAAAGAACCCTGATATTATTTTTGAAGGTAAACATTGAATTTAATTCGTAAATTCTGCTTTTAAGAAGACCTATCAGTAAAACAACATAAGATTGTTTTTAATGCTTGGATTGTAAACAAAAATATTAAATTTAACAAAACTGTTTTTGTAGTTTAAATGTTGGAGGGCGCTTATTTCAAAGCTCGAAGGAGACTCTCTGTAAATATTCAACTTCTAAGGAAATCAGTCAAAACTTGGTCTTATTAGATAGATGTACAATGTACTCTGACATATATTACATATACATACATATACACCTTATTCTTGATATAGTATTAGTCATCTCAAATTTGGCGTGTGGGTGTAGGACGTACCTAACAGTCTGATTTGATTTGATAGATGTATTTTGCACACTGACGTGTATTACAGATAGATATACATTTTACTTTGAGGTGTATTACAGATAGATTTACATTGTACACCGACATGTATTACAGATAGATGTACATTGTACATCGACATGTATTACAGATAGACACGCAATTTACATTGTACACTGACATGTTACTAAATACGGATATAAGTACATTGTACAGCTAGAAACTATAGTATTGACTGATGTAACTGTACAGCTAGCTATGTATGTTGAAGGAAACTAAAGTATTGACTGATATAACTGTACAGCTAGCTATGTATGTTTAAGGAAACTATTGTATTGATTGATATAACTGTACAGTTAGCTATGTATGTTTAAGGAAACTATTGTATTGACTAGTATAACTGTACAGCTAGCTATGTATGTTTAAGGAAACTATTGTATTGACTAGTATAACTGTACAGTTAGCTATGTATGTTTAAGGAAACTATTGTATTGATTGATATAACTGTACAGCTAGCTATTTATGAAGAAGGAAACTATTGTATTGACTGATATAACTGTACAGTTAGCTATGTATGTTGAAGGAAACTATTATATTGACTGGTATAACTGTACAGTCAGCTATGTATGTTCAAGGAAACTATAGTATTGACTGATAAAACTGTACAGCTAGCTATGTATGTTGAAGGAAAGCTTAAGCAGAATTTTGATTCTAATGGAATACTTTTTATTGACGAGGATCCACAGGAAAATTATAATTTGATAAATGTCTTTTATGTAAAAAGCTTAAATATTATGATCAGTTACTTATTTATACAAGAACACATTTTACTGGTTTGCATCTAATTTTTTAAGTATAATTAAAAAATACAAACAAAATATTTGTTTAAAAATATTTATTTATGTCATTCGAAAGATAAAATTATCTAAATTATAATGTCTGTAGGACTTCGAATATATTTTAAGGAACAAATTATTTTCATTTTCCAGATTTTTTTCTTTCAAATACAAAATGAAATAACAAATGATTAAACCTTAAGTTAAGATTTAGCTTATAGAAAATATTATGTTGAATTTAGAGCTTTAAGAAATGCTAGTAATGTACCTACAGCTGTTCCAAAGGTAATAAAAAATATTTTTTTTAAAAATAAACGAAATTTTAAAAAATCCATGTGGTACTAGACAAGAGACGTCGCTTTATAAAAAAAAATGTATTTTCTGAAAATATATATTAAGTGACCCTCCATTAGAAAAGTGGCATGTTCGATTCACAACGGTATTCTTAAAGCTTGTCAGTGAAGTATGAATATTGGATGTTTTTGAAAAATGTTAATTATAATTATTATTATAAAGATTTATTCACACACAAAGATATAAATACATATATAAATGGTGTAGTTTAAATTTGTTTAAATAAATTTTTGAAAATACAGGTTTCCAAAAAGAAAAGAGAAAAATACGCAAAATTATGCACAAATAGACAACATTGATCATTAATCATTACATTACGTAATCATCGAATCCTTCAACATATAAATTATTCGTTCTTGTATTTAAAAGTTCTTGTAAAACCGGAACTTTCCAGGCATGGTCCTATGGGACATCAAAATATTTCATTTGTTTCTTAACTAACATTTTACCAAGATCCGAAGGATTTACAGAACAATCATTTGCAATAGAAAATAAATTTCTGCCAAGAACTGTGTTAAGGTCATTTTTACATAAATTAGAAAGAAATCTAATGCAAATCTTAGAACTTGCTTCAATAGTCTCATAGAAAGACACACATCTGCTAGCTAACATAGTTTTTACATGTAAACATTGTGAAATACTTTCAATCAAGTACCTATGCGTATCTCTAGGTACATTAAAAAGAATTCTAATAGCAGTATTCCATGCTGTATACAATTTTGAAACACATTGGGAACTCAAGTCCCAAATACTAGATCCATAAAAACTACAACAGTAAATATTATACAGTTTCAAAATAACGTCAGGACTGTTAAAATAAAATTCTTGGTTAAGGGAATGAATTTTTGAAATGAACATAGCTCGGTTTTTATTGCAATCTATGGTCATTGAATTATCACTTTGCAGAACATTTCCTAAATGTTTCATTATAACTAACCCTTTCTTTAGAAAAAATTAGGCATTTAGTTCGAATATTTTTACTAAATTTCAGTTTAGTAGCTTTGGCAAAATTTTCACAAATTTTCACCATTAGTGGTTTCTCTGCAAAAATTACTTGAGCATTACTTGCTTCAGAAACAATAGAGAAATTATCAGAATTCAGCGCTAAGTTATTTTTCACATTATTAGATTAAGATGTGAATCGGGCATGGGTGTTTTTTGGCGGGTCACTTAATTGAGTTTTAATTTTTGTTTTGCGAATTAAAATTTTGTTGATTATAGCCTTTTATTGAGAGCATGGCCATGCATATAATAAATATTTATTTAGGAACATATAGATAATGTATTGAATCTTAGAGATAATCTGGAAATTAGGAAAACAAATATTTTTTTTAATAAAAGTTACTGCCTTTTTTTTTATAAATTATTAATCATATTAAAATTCCATGTCAAAGCTTAAATTATTTATTTTTATAAAAAAAGTTAATTAATTAATTCAGGATTATTTATTAAACGAGAATTCACAATTGCAGGGTGTGTAATACAAATACAATAACTTCATGAATATAAAAAAAAACTAGCAAATATGAGCACAAAATGGAATTTTATTTCCTCTTTCTGGGAAACGGTAGATCTTGGCTATAATTCATGTTTATTTCACTTGCTAATTTTTCTTGGACGCCCAGTAATTCAAATTTTAATGGTATTTGATTTATTAATGAATTATTTGTTTTTGTCTGGTAGGGAAATCAAGTTTGGATACCGTGAACAGTCCAATAGTTTTGTTTCAGAATATTTCCTTAGTGTTTGTAGATAGTTCACAGTACACTTGTATCCATGAAGCAGGGCTTCCGATCCGGATCAAAAAATTTTACTCTATTGATCCGGATTCGCAATAAATATTTGCATACACAGATCCGGATCCAAGGGGTAAATCATCGACCAATATGTCTAAAAATCAGACTAAACAAGTTACGGCAAAAATATTTCGAAATTTTTGAGAATTATTAATTTTAAACTTAAAGATATGTTAATTGTTAATGTCCTATCTAATTAGATCCTTAGATCTGCCATGAACCTTATTGTTATTCACTTGAAATTATTTTTCATGTTAGCTATTTTCTATTTAAATATTTGGAATGGTTTAAGAAAAATGATAATCATCCGAAATATTTTAAAATGATTTTCTTTATCAGGGAAAATATATTTGTATTTCAAACTTGCTCCTTTTCAAATTTATAAAAAAAATAGCGTTATTTGTGCGCGAATTTAAATTCAGTGTTTCTGTCGGCATAGCAAGCTCTTGTTTTCTGCCTCCTTTATTCTATATCATAGGTTCGGTTAATTTTTTTCTGTATCAACTTTCTGAATTTCTATACTTTATCCTTTAATCCTAATATTCTTGCATGTTGTAACTGCTGAAAATATTGATGTTAGATATTAGTCTTGTTTCTGTCAGCAGCCCTCAAACATGGTTAAATTTATAATTTAATACATTGATTTAATGCAAATCTAAATCAAATAGTTATTGATGAAAAAGGTTTCCTGTACAAATAGTTTTCCTTTTGTACTAGGTTACTTGATCTACTAGGTTTCCTGTTCGTTCCTGTTATGCTAGGTTTCCTGTTAAAATAGGTTTCCTGTTCTACAAGTTGTCCTTTCTACTAGGTTTCCTGTTCTTTCCTGATGTACTAAGTTTCCTGTTGTAATAGGTTTTCTCCTCTACCAGGTTTCCTGCTCTACTAATTGTCCTTTCTACAAGGTTTCCTGTCCTTTCCTGTAATGCTATGTTTCCTGTTCTTTCCTGTTATACTTTTTTCCCTGTTTTACTGTGTTTCCTGTCCTACTTTTTTTCCTGTTTTACTAGGTTTCCTGTTATACTAGTTTTCCTGTTCTCCTAATTTCACTAGTTTTCCTGTTCCACTAGGTTTTCTGTTTCATTAATTCTTTTGTTCAAAATTTCCAAACCTTAAGATTGCCAGTTAGACAGATTCACATCAAGAATTATTGCAAATCTAAAAACAGCTTTCTAANTTAGCCCCTGAACGATACAGGGCTCCTCCTGCAAGCTGAATCTGTCCTTGTTAGGCTATTTTGTCATGGTCTAATATTCTGTCAGACCTAAAATCTTGAAAACAATAATGATACATCGGCAAAAAAATATTTCTATATATAAATACCTGTTTTGGGCCAAATACACCCCTTTCTACGCCCCTGATCAAGAAAAAAAAAATTTGAAATTTTTTTATGCCCCTTATGGATTAAAAGAATATAGGTGCAAAGTTAGCACCATTTATCTCTATTATTACAAGAGTTATTACAAACTCCAGGAGACTAGTGAGGTCCAAAAATTATTTCTATATCACGTTCGTAAAAATATAAAAATTCTAGATTGTAAAATGTAAACTAAACATGCAAATTTCAGATGCTCACTAATGCCGCGAAAACTGTGCTATTTTGATAATGTTTATCGCAGACAGTACACCAAACAAAATCATGTACTGCAGTACACAGCTAAAGGTAGAATAATATAAGAGAAAACTTAATTAAGAAAAAAAACAAAGTATAAAGTAAATAATCCGATTTCTCAGTCACAGCACCAAGGCAACAGGAGACAAAACAAACAAAAAAAAATTTATGAAATTTTAACTTTATAATGCATCGAATAGGTTGTAATATTCCAATAATGAATTTTAGATTTAATTGAATTATTTATGATCTGAGTGGAATAATGCAACACCGTGGATTTGTATAGGTCCTACGCTCTTGGGTATATGATTTTTTTTAACCATTTACTCCTTATATACGCAGCAGTGAAGCAAAATTAGTAGCAATCTGTATCGAATTCAATTCGATATAAGCCTTTACCCCCTTTTGTTTTTCGCGACCACTCCCTTTAAGTGTTCCTATTCTTGGAACAGAAGATGTAACATCAATTGATTTTCCATTGAACCGAAATGATCGTCATATCCACAATGGCTCCCTTAAAACCTTTATCTTATGTAGCATGAACCAGATATTCTGATTTTTCTAACTAAAAATTGATTATTTTCGAATTTGATTTCTGCTCAAGTGACTAGGTTGAGGAAATGAGAGAAATTTAAAAACGTTTTCGAGAGAGAAAACGACAATCTTCATTAGTGTTGCTAAGATAAAGTTTACAATAGTACTGTTGTCAGTTTTACTACAAACATTCTAGAAAACTCTGATATGGGAAGACGACGTTCAGAATAAAATCATAACGTTAAAAGTCTAATGAGCTTGAGACACAGCAATTGTGCAGTGTAAACAGACACATTTCACTAAATTACTGATCTAATAAGTGTCTAGTAAAACTATCTAACTGTTTAACATCAAATACACTTAAGTATTGCTACAATGTCGTCTTCCTATTCGATTGTTTTCTGGTTATCACTGTATTATTATTTATTATATTCTAGATTGTAAAGAATTGTTGCAAAGATTACAGATACAGAACAAGATTGAAGTTCACACTGGATGCGTTAACACTATAGGAATATAATTTATTTATTAATATCGAGATGTTCATTGATTTAGAAAATTAAGTACACACCTTTCAGTCCAATTGTTATGTTATTGTAGTCGAAAGTGTTGTAACTTTTTAATTATGCCACAGGTGTTATTTTAAATTTTTAAATAAATGCTTACTGGTGTACAGCATGGAATGAGTCTGGTAGTTTGCTTCTGTCTGGCGCAGACGATCACAATTTAGTGATCACAAATCCATTTAAGAAATATCCGGATACAACTTTGATCCATACTCCACATACAGCTAACATATTCTCAGCAAAGGTATAATACCCGGATACATAATCCATACTCCATCTACAGCTAATATATTCTCAGCAAAGGTATAATATACGGATACATAATCCATACTCGGCATACAGAAAACATATTCGTTAACGATCGTCAACAAAGGGACGTCGTAAACGGCGAGCTTTATAAAAACGATCGTTATTAAAAGCGATCAGTTTTTAAAACGATCGTTCTGAAAACAAACTATTTAAAAAAACGATCGTTTTTAAAAACTATCGTTTCGTTTTCGTTTTTTTGTCATCGTTTTCATAACGAAACGATCGTTTTTAAAAAATGAAAACGTTAACACATACAGCAAATATATTCTCAGCAACAGTATAATTTCCGGATACAACTGAAATCCATATTCCACATACAGCGAATATATTCTCAGCAAATGTATCATCGATAAGAGAGGAGGATAGAGAGTATTCGCAACTTTTCGTACAGGGTCTCTTTTTAAAAGGAGAGACCGGCTAGGTAATATATTTGAACCGAGAGTGCAGAATTATAGAGGGAAAATCTGGGATTTATTTGATAAGAATAAGACGACTGTAAGGTGTATAATTTGCAAGTAAGGTTGTAAATTCGTTTGTCAAAATTCGCCATAATGTTTTATTAGCCCGGACGAAAAATTTAACTCTAACTGTACTGTAAACTAATTCGGTTTCGGTAATGTTTGAATGTTCACAATCGTTTTCCGTAGATTTCCTTGAATTTTTTATTGAAAAGACGACAATTTAAGAATTTAAAGAAAAAAATTCATTTTCCCGATAAGAAAGAAATGATTAGTTGATTTTTTTACAATTTCTATTATGATAATCTTATTAGGAAAAAAATGTAATAATGGAAACTCTTAAACGAGATGAAATAATCTTGATGTATTCTTTAACGAAGGCCGCAGGCCTGAGTTAAAGAATGCATCAAGATTATTTCATCGAGTTTAAGAATACCATTATTACATTTTTATCCTCATAAGATTATTATTATATCATATTTTTGAGGTTCCATGGGCACATACCCAAGAAATTATATTAAAAAATAATTCTGGTGAAAACCGACTATTTCAAGTTGGAAGAGTTCACATTATGAAAGGTTGCAAATAAGTTTTATGCTCTTGTTCTGACTAACACTGTTTTTATTTTTCTAATTTTAAAATGTTAAAAAAAAAACATTTTAGAAGTAAAAATTGGTTCTTAATTTGAAAGTAATGCATGTGGTGTGATTGTTTCCTTAGTTTAGTTTGTTTGTTTACCAATGATTTTGCTCGTTTTTTAAGTTGATACTACATTTAGATTCAGCATGTTAAATGTGCCCTGAGTTTTTTAGATGGAGAGAAGGTATACTAGTGGGTTGTCTTAATTTACTGAACAATATCGTGTCTTCATTTATAGAAGAAATCATTTTCTGAATATTAGATCCTAAATCTTCCAAAAAGAGGAGATAAAAGCAGGTTATCTAGTAAGAATCAGTTCGACCTAAACTTATGAAGATCTTTGTCTTTTTTTCATGAAGCAAGATTTACTGGTTTGTTTTCATTGCTATGGAGTGACACTAATATTTCAATTATAAGTTTTTATTCTTTTTTTTGGTTTTGATTGTGGTTTCACTTCATCATCTCGAACTATGCGAGATATGGTGACTCAGACTGAAAAGCTCTGACCATACTATTACAAGTATGCAGAGATTTGCAAAATCTCACAAAACTTGGTTTTAAATGAAGATGAACTAAAAAAAATTATTAAGTAGGTAGTCGGGCAGTATGCTTTAAGACTCGGCATTTTGATGAAAGTGTCGAATGTAAGGCTAAAGGCATCGTCCATATTTTTGGGAAAGGTCAGAAAATGTTAATTTACACTCTTCTGTCAGGACTAGGGTTGAGATTCAAATTGATATTTCTGAATTAAGGTATATCAATACTTCAAAAAACGAAAAAGGTAAGTGAGCATGAAAAGGTAAGTGAGCATGTTTTAATATAAAAGAAAAAGGTAAGTGAGCATGTTGTTTTTAAGTTAAAAAAGGTAAGTTTGCATGTATTAATGTAAAAGAAAAAGGTGAGTTTGCCCTCTGCATGTTGTCAGTACAAAATAATTAAGTTAATATCAATATTGATCTATACTGAAAAGATCAATATAAGGAGCGTGTAAGAATGAATATTCTTTAACTAGTGTAAGAATTTCCATTCTTTAATGCTTGGAGCGTGTAAGAATATACATTCTTTCACGCTCTGACCGTGTAATAATTTCCATTCTTACACGGTCTGGCGTTAAAGAATGAAAATTCTGCACCTACAGTGTAAGAATAAGCATTCTTAAACGCAAAGAAGCGAACAATATTAAAATTGTTTCTCCTGAACCGTGTAATAATGGGAATTCTTACACGATAGGTTTACTACTATGGAACCGAACAGATATGATATAATGAGAAATATGTTCCTTTAAGGTAAAACAAGCACCAAGGTAGAGTTTACATTATCTTTACAATTATTATCTTCAAGTCTTTTTCAGTTTCTTTCTGACAGCGGAGATGCTAAACTGGTTTCCTCTGCTGGTAATGGTCGAATTGTGTACACTGATGTTTACAAACAAGAAGAATCCAGTTCTCTTAACTGTCACACAGGTACAATTTGCAGTACACACAAATGTTTAAATACACATTAAAATGAAACAAGTTTTTTTAAAGTTTCATACTTACGTCCTCCATGTTTTATAAGAAGAGGAAATCAGTTTTAAAAACAGTCATATAGGGACTTAAGTGCAGTACAGTGTACAACTGTACAAGTGTACTGTACAGTGTACAGTACACTCCAAAAGGTTCATTGTATTGGTACAATACACAATACGCACTTTTCATGATAAACAAAGCATCTTTTTAAGATTCACATAAAACATTTTTTTGTTCATAAAACCACCATCTTTAGATGGCTAATAAATATCTGTAAAATGGAGAACACATTAAAAATTAATATTAGATTTTATATTAAAAAACATAAAAGAAGATAAATGCAAACGAAATAATTTCCAATGTTTTAGAATCAAAAAAAAATTGATTAATTTATGAAGGTGCTGTTTATGAGGTTCTCCATGTTCTTGGTGACCCACATAGTTTCCTATCTTGTGGAGAGGATGGAACAGTTCGTTGGTTTGATACCAGACTCAAGATATCTTGTTCAGAACCAGATTGCTGTCAGGTTGGTTATACCAGAGTTGTATCTAGGTTTGATACCAGACTCAAGGTATCTTGTACAGAACAAGAATGATGTCAGGTGGATAGTATCAGAACAGTTCGATGGTTTGATACCAGACTCAAGGTATCTTGTACAGAACAAGACTGATGTCAGGTTGATAGTATCAGAACAGTTCGTTGGTTTGATACCAGACTCAAGGTATCTTGTTCAGAACCAGACTGATGTCAGGTTGGTAATATCAGAACATTTCCGTACTTCCATACCAGACTCATGATATGTTCAGAAACAGATTTGTGACCCTATTCCTTCTGGCCTTTTTTTTCGCAGTGCTATTTGCTTTCTTGTGTCATATTCTATTCTTTACAACTTGGTACAAATTATTAACAAAAGTTATTCAGAACTTTTTCGAACTTTGATTGCTCCATTGAGCTTAACTTTGATTGCTCCATTGAGCTTAACTTTGATTGCTCCATTGAGCTTAACTTTGATTGCTCCATTGAGCTTAACTTTGATTGCTCCATTGAGCTTAACTTTGATTGCTCCATTGAGCTTAACTTTGATTTCTTCGCGCAAGATGAAGTTCAAGACTCAGAACATCAGAATTGAAGAGTTTTAGTTAATAAAGTCTCATCTTTTGCGGGCAAACCTGTAGGTGAAACCGAAAAACCCAAAAAAAAAATTTAATTACGTCTTAAATAGAGTTATCACTGAATAGTTTGAGTTAATAATAAATCCTTAACAGGTATTGATTATTTGATAAGTAATGGTTCTACAATAGCTGGACAATAAATGAAAGTAATATTCTTTTATTAAATTTTTTTGTATTGAATGAATAAGAACACATAAATAAGATTAATTACTTTTTTAGGATGTAATGATACAATGTGACAGAGGAGTGCCTTCAATCTCTCTAAATCCCGTTTTTTCTTATGAATTAGCAGTAGGGTGCTCAGACGGTTGTGTTAGGTAAAGAGATAACATTAAATATGATTGAGATAATGATGACGATGATAACAGGGATTGTCATTGATCGATAATGTTGAAACTTGAATATGATAATATTAATGAAAATGTTAATAATTTTGATTATGTTGATATGATTATGATAATGATGATAATGATGATAATGATAATGATGATAATGTTGATAATGTTGATAATGATGATAATGATGATAATGATGATAATGATGATAATGATGATAATGATGATTATGATGGTAATGATGATAACGATGAAAACAATGATAACGATGATTATGGTGATGATGATGATGATGATGATAATGATGATAATGATGATAACGATGATAACGATGAAAACAATGATAACGATGATTATGGTGATGATTATGGTGATGATGATAATGATGATAATGATGATGATGGTGATGATAATGATGATAACGATGATAATGATGATAATGATGATAATGATGATAATGATGATAATGATGATAATGATGATGATAATGATGATAATGATGATAATGATGATAATGATGATAATGATGGTAATGATGATAATGATGATAATGATGATAATGATGATAATGATGATAATGATGATAATGATGATAATGATGATAACGATGATAATTGTGTTTAGGTTGTATGACAGGAGAATGCTTTCTACACGATTATCAACTTGTGATAAAAATACAGGTTTGGCGGATTTAATCAATTTTAGGAAATAAAGGTGGGACAAATTTTTAAAAGTTAAACATTTTACAGGACAAAGATAACATACTTACTCACTAGACTTGACAATTATCTGACAGGACAAAGATTGGCCAGGACTAAAGTCAGACAGGAAATACACTAAACTTGACAGGATTAACAATAAACATTAGACAAGACAAACAGCAGACAGGACCACAGGGGATGATATGTTGTCTACCTGGTGCCCAGTTAACTAGACTGTACGCTTACAAAGGTTTTCCAATATATGGCACAAGGAGATTCTGGCCTACCCTTAAACTATACCCTCTTTAGACAGGACCGAAAAATAGTAAACAGGACAAATAGTAGACAGGACAAACAGTAGACCTGGAAAAATAGTAGACGGAATTTACAGTAGACAGGACAAACAGTAGACAGAACTTAAAGTAAACAGGACAAACAGTATACAGGAAAAACATAGGCTTTACATATATGTTGTCATATTGTCACACACAAGATAAATGGCAAGATAACAATTTCAAAAAAAATGACTTTTTCTCTTTTATTTAAAAGTTCCATTCACTTAATTCTATTTAATTTTATAAGTTTCAGTAGAATTTATTTTTGTCTATTTTCCTCCATTATATCCACCATTGCTGCCTCCATTAAAGCCTCCATTGCCATCATTGTAACCTCCATTCCCGTTACTTCCTCCATTAAAGCCTCCATTTCCATGGTTTCCATCATTGTAACCACCATTTCCGTTGCTGCCTCCATTGTAGCCTCCGTTCCCGTTACTTCCTCCGTTGTAGCCTCCATTTGCATTGTTTCCGTCATTGTAGCCACCATTCCCATTAATGCCTCCATTATAGCCTCCATTCCCATTGTTTCCATTATTGTAGCCTCCGTTACCATTGCTGCCTCCATTGTAGCCTCCATTCCCATTGTTTCCACCATTGAAGCCTCCATTCCCGTTGCTATTTCCATTATAGTCTCCCCTACCACCTCCATTCACATTATAATCTTCTCTTCCATCACTTCCTCCATTAAAGCCTCCATTTCCATTGCTGCCTCGGTTAAAATCTCCTCTTTGCGGCGCTGACATGGCGAGGGATAAAGCAATCAATAAAATAAACTCTGTTTTTATCATTTTAAAGTCGTAGATTAGAAATTTCCTTGTTGAATAGATAAATATGTCTGTTGCATGGATCCAGGATTTTTCTCTGTTTATAAAATGGTTTGGTCTGGGACTCCCATCCAAACCAAAATACCAAGGCGTGCTCGAGCCGGGAGAAATATATCTTGTCTAAACATTAATTTTTCAAAATTTGAATTCTTTTTCCAAATAATTTACACGATATTAACAATTATGAGACAAATAAACTAACAAGGGAGACAAACAGAAATTACGACTTAATATTTATAGATCACATTTGATATTTCCATTTAAAGGAATCTAACAATTAAGATGTCTGATTATCCTGTTGTCCATATTAAACCCTGATTCTTGACCAAGGAAAGTGTCATGTTTAGAAAAGTAAACAAGTCTTATATTTAAAGAATGACGTGCTAAATGTGCTTCGTCATTTGTTGTTGATATGAATACCACAAGAGGGTTTGGGTTTAAAGGGACTGTAAGCGTAATTTCAAGTGATCCTCAATGCAATGCCTTATTTACAACGGCACTATGGAAGGCTTTATCTGATCAAAAATGCGGAATACATAGTCGTTTTGTATTGTTTATTTCAGTTTTCAAAACTTAAAACATTGATGTCTATTTCATACTCAGCAAAAATCTTTTAAGGGTACCGTTGTGAATCGGGCATTGCCATCTTTGCTGTAGGGTACTTAAGATAAAGATTTCGTTGTTGGAACAGATGCAGAGATAATAAATATCGCAAAATTATCTTTCACAAGTATAAATCCCCCTCAACAATCTTTATAATCTGTATCATTGCTTTAATCTAATTTATCTCTTTAATCTCTGTATTTTCTGTTAAGGACTATCAGGGTTGATATCTAAGTTTAGTGTACCCAAAAAAGATGGTTTAACCAGAAAAATTACATCGGTGGATTTTAGGAATTACATCAACCATGTTTTACTCCTATTTTTAATTATTTACAACAAAAATTTAACTTCTCAGACAGATATTTACAGAGCTTGGAATTATTAAGGTAACGAATTAAACTCATTCTTAAACTTACGTTTAGCTGAATGTTTAGTTGCTAACTTTGGTATTTTTACGTTTTAGAAAATTTGTTCCAGATTTTCTTGCCTTTTTTGTGGATTTAATATTCGCATATTTTATGAACTTATGTCTTCCATATCTTCAATGAATTCAAGATTAAAGAATATATATTAAAAAATTATATTTGTCTTAAAAGAGGGAGCAAATGAATTTAATATTTAAAAATGTTATTAATTAAAAACATGGTTCAATGTAGACCAGATGGTCGCGAAGTTTCTGCTTCATTCTCATCCGATCATATTTATATCTTCGATCCAAAGGTTAGAAAAATTAATTTTTATAATTCCTGATATAAACTATTTTACTGTATTAAAAACTATAGTTGAATCAAATAATTTTTAATTGTTTAACCAATTTTTAAATCATGGTTTTAAACGATCTGTAAGCGTTTCTCCATCAAAAATGCCTGATTTACAACGGTATCCTTTAAACCTATATCTTATCCATGATTAGAAATCTTATCCATGATTAGAAATCTTATCCATGATTAGAAATCTTATCCATAATTAGAAATCTTATCCATAATTAGAAATCTTATCTATAATTAGAAATCTTATCCATAATTAGAAATCTTATCCATGATTAGAAATCTTCTTATCCATAATTTGAAATCTTATCCATGATTATAAATCTTATCTATAATTAGAAATCTTATCCAATTAGAAATCTTATCCATGATTAGAAATCTTATCCATAATTAGAAATGCGCAAGTCACTTCTGTAGAGAAACCACAATTGAAAACAAACATTTTTTTAAATTACAAACATTGATATCTAATATAAGTTTACGAAGTCCATGTGCACAAAATAACATGTATAGACAATCTAATATCTCTTCCTAGATTCATAAAGTAAAGAAAAATAAAACAGAAAGAAAACAAAATAAAATAATTAAAAAATTGCAATTTTAGAATAATGAAGGAAGCCAAGGAAGGAAACTAAAAGTTGGAAGGCCAAGCAGGTGGTTTTTTATATTGTAAATATCTTAATTTAAAGCAATTTTCAAAACAACTTAGTAACTCTCTTTTTGGAAGAGTGCCTAGATCGGTTCACAACATAACCATCAAATTTGTATTGGTCTTATTTCATACGATCTCCGATAATTGCGTTTATGTCAATATAATCATCTGCACTTCAGCAAATTATAATAATTGTATATTTGTAATCGGAAATCAGATTTCTGTGTTTTTGTGAAACAGTTTTATGTAAATGTATCATGACAGGAAAATCTGGAAAAATGGTGGTACCTTGCCACAACCATCTTTTCATTTTTTCACAACCAATAGCTTAATTCAGCATTTATAAGTATTTTTTATATACAGAAAAACTTCAGCTAAATCAAGAGCAAGAAGCCCCCAACCTATGAAGAAACTGAGATTAAGGTGTTTATTTTTGCTGCTTTTTATCATCAATATTATTTTTATCACTGTTATAGAAGTGTTCATAAAACTCATAGTCATGTTCATAATATTCATAGTCATGTTCATAATATGATAGTCATCTATTCATAATATCATAGTCATGTTCATAATATCATAGTCATGTTGTTCATAATATCATAATCATGTATTCATAATATCATAGTCATGTTCATAATATCATAGTCATGTTTTTCATAATATCATAGTCATGTATTCATAATATCATAGTCATGTTCATAATATTCATTGTCATGTTCATAATTGTCATAGTCATGTTCATAATTTTCATAGACATGTTCATAATATTCATATTCATGTTCATTGTTCATTATCATAGAATCATAATGAATATTTTTTAACCCAGTATTGAAATAATAACCAATAATAGAAACAGGAATTTATTCTAAATGTAAGATTTAATCTAGATGGGTTGTCCTTTTTAAAAGTGATTGTTTTGTCACCCCCTCCCCCCTCCCTGTATTGATCTAAGTTTAAATTATATTTATGTGGAGATTTAAAAACACAAAACCTTAGGAGCCAAAAAGGGAACCTAATATGGAACCCTCAGACCACCTTCAAGCATCGTGCTGCTGTGACTTGAAGTCGATCTAGGCTAGAGCACAATTTATGACGACCATGCTCTTTTAAATTCATTGAACAAGAAACTTACTTATTACTTAATAGCTAATATTTGTATTAGTTTTCTTTGTCTAGAGGTGACTGGTCAGATACTGGTCCAAACTCCAGACCTGAGATTGAGACCAGGAGTTCCCAGGAGGTATATATTCCTTTCCTTCTCTTCTAATATTGTAGACTTTCCTCATCTACCTTTCCCTTCCCAAACTTCCAAACTTCTCCTTCCCTTTCCTACCCTTTTTCTTTTCTTCCCTCCCATTATCTTATCTTCCTTTCTTCCTTACTTTCACGTTCTACCTTAATTTTCTGTTTCTTTTTTACTCTGCCTTCTTTCCTTCTCCTTCATTTTTACTTTTCTTCCCCACCTTACCCTAAGGTAACCTTATCTTCCTCTTCCTTCTTTGCCCTACGTTCTATTAAATTTTATCCCCTTCGTTTTTTACTTTCCTCTTCCTTTATCACCTTTTTCTTCTTTTCCCATATTTCTTCTAATTTATAAAATAAAGCTTTTCAATCACATACATAATATATATGTTAGTTATAGCTGGCCAAACAGCTGAACTGAACCCTACTCTCCTCTAACTGAACCATTATCTTTTCTCCCCGAACCCTACTCATCTCTAACTGAACCCTACTCATCTCTTATCTAAATCCTACTTTACTTCAACCTGAACCTAACTCTTTTATAATTGAACCCTGCTCTTCTCTAACCTGAACCCTACTCTTCTCTAACATGAACCCTATTCTTCTCTAACCTGAACCCTATTCTTCTCTAACCTGAACCCTGCTCTTCTCTAATCTGAACCCTACTCTTCTCTAACCTGAACCCTACTCTTCTCTAACCTGAACCCTACTCTTCTCTAACCTGAACCCTACTCTTCTCTAACCTGAACCCTACTCTTCTCTAACCTGAACCCTACTCTTCTCTAGCCTGAACCCTACTCTTCTCTAACCTGAACCCTGCTCTTCTCTAACCTGAACCCTACTCTTCTCTAACCTGAACCCTACTCTTCTCTAACCTGAACCCTGCTCTTCTCTAACCTGAACCCTATTCTTCTCTAACCTGAACCCTACTTTTATTTTACTTAACGATGCCTGTGCATAAGATCTAAACGTTTACAGATAAGAGGATGAAACTTTTGTATATCGCTTTTCTTCAGCAACTGAGCTCAGTATCCAGTAGACAAACTCTAAGCCTATAGATTAAACAAATTTTACTTCACCATCTAGTCAATGAGAGAAGCCTATTTTTGGTGAATTTTGTATGTGAAAGCTATCATTGGTTTAATCCAAAGAATTATGCAAATGTCAACACTTAGACGCTAAACTAAATATAGGTTTTAGCAGTCAACAGGAAGGTAGCCCGCTAAACCTTTTAATCAGAGAGATAAGCCTAAAAGAAGTTTTTCCATGTAAATCGTCATCAGGAAAACTGACTGCTTTGTGTTTAGAGTGCTGGTGTCGAACCTGACCGGAATAATGCTCAAGCTGCACTTATGCAGAGGATGACACACGCGCTGTCAAGAATGTTAAATGATCCAGGTAAACGTTTTTATTATTGTATACTTCTTATCAACATGCTGACAGTATAAAGCTAAAATTGATTAGTATATAAAAATGTTATTACTGTTTTCGTTGATAATGTTTTTCAATATGTTTGTTAGTGGTTTGTTAAATTAACATTGTGGATATGGCTATTATGTAATCGTTCGTTTACAATTAAATGATGAACATTCAGTTCAGCTATTGCGTTGAGACCGAGTTCTTAAGAGCTTGCATTTGCTAATGTAACTTTGCACAGTCCTGACTAAGTCTATTTTATATATATTTGTATTTAGGAACAAGACAAGCACTGCATCGTTTACCTATCTCATCTGCTTCTCCAGTCTTACCTAGCCTTCAAACTGTTGTTATACCTTTTGAAGCTGCCCATGATACCCAACCCTCCCTATCTGCTCCAGATACCCATCCTACCCAACCTGCTCAAGATACCCATCCTACCCAACCTGCTCCAAATACCCAACCTGCTCCAGGTACCCATACTACCCAACCTGCTCCAGGTACCCATACTACCCAACCTGCTCCAGATACCCATCCAACCCAACCTTCCCAACCTGCTCCAGATATACATCTTACCCAACCCTTTCAACCTGCTTCAGATACCCACCCAACCCAACCTTCCCAACCTGCTTCAAATACCTATCCTAATCACCCCTCCGTGTTCACTACCCAACTCTCCTTAGCTGCTCAATATGAAGAATTAGATGAAGATGAAGAACATACTGAAGAATCTCATAATGAATCTCCTAACCTTTTACATAATAATACTGACTGTGATGAAAATAACTCAACAGAAGGTAGAGAATAACTAACTTATATAAACAAAATTGTCCTTAATTTCTGTAAGTGTAGTATGGCATAATAGAATTGAATTATAGTGATTTTCATGTTAAAGGTGCTAGTGCGCTAGTTCAGCCACTGCAACCAGTTTCTCAGAACAAATCTCCAATACCTGCTCAGGAAAATGCGGGAAATGAAGATCAGGAATCTACAAATGAGAATCCAGGTGTCACTAGTGAAGCAGCAGACAACTGGTCGGTGCTACGAAGATCAGTTACAAACCTTAGAAATTCAGGGTTGGAACCTACCCTACAGTTTAGGTAAAACAAAATCTAATAAATGTTCAGAGCAAATTCTAAACCCAATAAGTTATTCCTGGTTTTATTATTATTATTTTTATTATTTTTATTCTGATCAATATCATTTAACCTACCGTCAAAGTATCATGTCCTGTAGGGTATTACGTCAAGCTCGAAATAGTACCCAACAGAATGTCATTAAAGGAGAACTAGATGTCCTATTTATGTTGTTTCAGGGTTCAAGATTCCGGTTCATCATCAAGCTCTATCAGAGTCGATTCAGAACCTTTGCCAGGTATAGATAACTTTATTTACTTAGGCTTGGTTTGATTTAATTTGGCTTGATTTGTTCTGATTTGGTTTGGTTCGGTTTGGTTTGGTTTGGTTTGGTTTGGTTTGGTTTGGTTTGGTTTGGTTTGGTTTGATTTGATTTGATTTGATTTGATTTGATTTGATTATTTAGGTCCCAGTAGAGTAGTGACAGGACCAGGACGGGTTGGTATAGACCCTGAGACTGGACTTCGGAGGAGAAGACATGGAGTATCCTCCGTCCCAACCTCATCTATTTTACATGGTGCGTCTGCTGTCCCAACCTTGCATAGCCACTCGGATTACAGGAGATCAGGGGAGGATCCAGGTGATTCAAACTTTCCTGAAGGGATGGCTGTTTTAATTTTAAGCGACCACCAAAATAAGTATGGGCAATGGGCATACTCTATTCACAAAGGTACCTTTTATATTTTTATAAATAATGTGGTTAAATATCGTAGTTATTCTATCTTGAAAAGTTTTACATTTTGATATTTTCCTTCATTGTTTTCATTGTCTGAAATCCGCAATTCACTTTTTAGAGTAATCACAATAGAAATTGAAATTAGTCAATTTTCTAGGTTTAAAACAGGGATATCTCATTCGTTATCATTCAAAACGTTCAAGGTTAACATTGTGAATTAGACAAATAGCCACTCTATACTCTATACAAATGAAGGATTACTTAAAATGACGTCTACTGTCCTCTGCATACAGTTAAGACCATCAAAACATTTATGATGTCTGATCGATTTTTAATGATTGTTAAAATGTATTGTTTTCAAATAATTGTTCAGGTGACATAGAGTATGAAGATGATTCTGACACAGATCTGGATTCTACTGGAGATCTTGAGTATTCAGGTATAACTTGTTTCTTATGTAAACCACAGTAACGTTCTTAGCTTGGTTTCAAAACTATAATTAGTTTACAGGCAAAGCTGGGTTCCCAAACTAGTACTAGATATAATAACACCAAAGATTCGTAAATTAACCAATAGGGGGGCGGTAGGGGTTAATTATGGCTGTTTCATGGAGCCTCAAGCAATTCCTAAAAAAGATTTTATTTTATTTGTGTAACCCTGATAAGTTTACATTTTATATGCAATATGCTAACCAATAACTTGAAAATGATGTAATGGTTTATTTTCAGATTGGAATCCCGGACGAACTATTCTACAGCCATTGGTCAATCAACAGCTTAGCGGTCACAGGTAATATTGATTGAAATTTATTAAAGTTCATTCTCATAATCAAATTAATTCAGTTCTACTCTAAGTATTAGCATTTTAGCATTTGTTTGGTAAGTTGCTGGCGGCAGGGGTTCAGACCGGGATTACGGCCCAAGTTCGACATTAGGCTTGAATTATGTAAGACTGAAAAGTGATCTGGAAGGGATCTCGTAATGGCTTACTCCATCCAGATTAAGAAGCTGTTGGCTTTTTGAATTGAATTGAATTGAATTGAATTGAATTGAATTGAATTGAATTGAATTGAATTGAATTGAATTGAATTGAATTGAATTGAATTGAATTGAATTTAATTGAATTGAATTGAATTGAATTGAATTGAATTGAATTGAATTGAATTGAATTGAATTGAATTGAATTGAATTGAATTGAATTGCATTGAATTGCATTGCATTGCATTGCATTGCATTGCATGGCATGGCATGGCATGCATCGAATCGAATCGAGGTTTAAAATGTTTAAAAGTTTAACATTTATTTTCAGCAATAAGTTGAAATTAAAACTATTTGTATAGGAATGTGAGAACTATGATAAAAGAGGCGACCTGGTGGGGGAATAATTATATACTTTCTGGATCTGATTGCGGCCATCTTTTTGGTTGGGACCGTAGCACTGCAGAGATAGTTGTCATGCTGGAAGCAGACAGGTAATAAGCTGATTGGTAGTTTCACGCATATTAACAGCTGATTTAAAAATTCCTTAGGTCTTCAATTACAATTAAATGGCGAAAACATTTTAAAAGTTTTGATTTGAGTCCTGAACAATAACATGTTTTTGGACCAAACAATTAAATTGATGATATGGGATTTTTTTTATCGGTAACATTTTAACTCTTTATCTAGACATGTTGTTAACTGTGTTCAGCCACATCCCACCTTACCTCTGGTGGCAACTTCTGGAATTGATTATGACATAAAACTCTGGTTTCCTACTGCAGAATGTTCTACTTTTGATGAGGAAAAGGCCCAGGTTGTTTCCAGGTTAGTAATGTAAACCACGCAGTATGAAAAGTAAATAAACAATGATTTGTTGGATCATTTTATTTCTTTGAATGGAAGCAAAAGTTATCATTGTTGTCATTATTACTTGTTACATGCACGATCATTGATTTATTGATTTGATTAAATTGTCTGTTACAGGAGTGTTTATCAATTTATGTTGATTGATGAATTGATTTGATTAAATTGTCTGTTACAGGAGTGTTAATCAATTTATGTTGATTGATGAATTGATTTGATTAAATTGTCTGTTACAGGAGTGTTTATTAATTTATGTTGATTGATGAATTGAATTTGTTTCTATAAGGCGGAATGAGGTAATGTTGGAGGAGATGAAAGATACGATAACTGTCCCTGCCTCCTTGATGATTAGGATGCTGGCATCATTAAACCAGATCAGACGAGGTAGAAACATAATAAACCAGATCAGACGAGGTAGAAACATATTAAACCAGATCAGACGAGGTAGAAATATATAAAACCAGATCAGACGAGGTAGAAATATATTAAACCAGATCAGACAAGGTAGAAATATATTAAACCAGATCAGACTAGGTAGAAATATATTAAATCAGATCAGACGAGGTAGAAATATATTAAACCAGATCAGACCAGGTAGAAACATATTAAACCAGATCAGACGAGGTAGAAATATATTAAACCAGATCAGACTAGGTAGAAATATATTAAAACGGATCAGACGAGGTAGAAATATATTAAACCAGATCAGACGAGGTAGAAATATATTAAACCAGATCAGACCAGGTAAAAATATATAAATATACAATGAATTGCAAAACGATCAACATCCTAGATTCTCTTGAATATTTCTAAATGTCGCAAAAGCTTGAATTTGTTAAAATTGACCAGAAAATGTCACATCTTTAAAACCATTCGTTTCAGCTAAATAAACTACCAGAGTAGAATTATTTAAACTCCAGTTTCTTAAACAATTTTCTACCATGGGTATTGGGTATTCATACTCGTTGTCAGCAAATCAAGGTTTTTATGGGTTTGTGAAACTAAAATTAGAATTTAAACTCTTCAGAAAATTTTACCCTATCCCTGGATTCTAATTTGCTTGTCATTTTTTTTAAATATTCTGTGGATTCTGTACAATGCGACTCGGACAGATACCTGAATTTTGTGGGGGCCTGGAGTATATTTTCTAATAGTTCAGTTATTAATTAATTATTTTAGGACAAGGGAGCAGTAATGATCCCGGCTAAAATGGTTTCAGTTCGTAGTGCAGAGAAGTTTGAATGTATTTCCATTAATGAAAACTGGGAAGAAGATCATGAATTTTATTGTGATTTCTGATGATTCGTTGAATGCACAAGATTTTGGATTCCTGGATCCGATTCCGCAAAAATATGCGATCCACAGATCCGGATCCAAAGGTTTAAATATAAACCAAAAGCTGCAAAAAAAAATTTTTTACTCTCAAACCCCAAGTCTGAACCGTTGAAAAAAAAGTGAGATTAAAGAAATTTCCTGATCACTGAATGGGTTATCAAGTCTTAGCATTCTAATAAGCGAAGACAGGAAGAATAATAATTTAAATATTCTGTTTTGTTAAAAAAAAAATTGTAAATCGTAAAGAAATGTTCATGACCTGGATCTGGATATATTTTTCCCCATGCGAATCTATGATCCTGATCCGGATCCAAAGCACTGCTGTATTTACACTCTAGGGGTGAAGGTTTCACAGTTTTGCTCCCCTATATCTATACAGGAATAGATTTGGTTAGTTTTTTAAGATAAAAACAGTTCCAAGTTAGAAGGTGACGGATGAATGAGGAAGATTCTAATAAAGGGCCAAAATCGATCATCCTTAATCTGCAGATATAGTTAGTCCCCAGGAAATATGTTGAAGACGACCTAAAACTAATCTAAAGCGTTTTTTCTGTTTAAAAGGTGAACAATTCCTTTATATAACAATCTGGGCTAACTGCATTATTCTTATTTTCCCCGCATTATTTATGTGGCTCACCGTTATACTATTATACAATATACAATCTACAATTCATTGTTTTTTTAAGCATGGATTATTCATTATTATTATTTTTTATCAAATTTACATTAAACCCCAAAATTTACATCCTACACCGAAAGTGTGACCGAATCTTAATTTTAAATTGTCAGGTTGTATTAGGTTTTCTTTGAACTAAGAACTCAATAAAATTGTCAATTTTTGATTTTAATTAATGTAAGTTGTGACAATATTTTAAAAGTTCTTTTTCAAAATATTCATTGTTTTGTGTTTCTTCATTTATATCACTTTAAAGTGTTGATTTTATAAAGAAATAATGAAATAAATTTCATCTTAAATTGTAAAAAGTGTTCAGAAATTTTACGTACACATGAATTTACACATAAATTATTTACCAGTTTTTGTGTTTGAAATAATAATAATAACTTGTGATGAAATCCCAATTTTATTGTAAGTTACTGAAAGTGTTTGAACTAAAAATATTTAAATACGCGCTCATACCCCGTTAACCTAAAAAGATTAAATATGTTTTGCAGTTCTGAACAAAATTTCTAGTTGTTCATTTATCAGGAATTGATAAGATTTATAAGGGTTCAGGTAGATATAAGGGTTCAGGTAGATATAAGGGTTCAGGTAGATATATGGGTTCAGGTAGTATAAGGGTTCAGGTAGATATGAGGGTTCAGGTAGATATATGGGTTCAGGTAGATATATGGGTTCAGGTAGATATAAGGGTTCAGGTAGATATAAAAGTTGCCTGAAAAAAAAACGATTGATGAAAGACTTGCATCAATCAGAGAAATGAATGAACGATCGTTTTTTAAATGTACGAAAAAAAAACTTGAAAAAACTGAACAAACGATTTTATCTATCAAACGAGTTTACTGAACAAAGTATTTGCCTACCGATTATTCAGTGAGAAAAGGAAGGAATTAGATGGAAAATGAACGATAATTACGAGAAAGAGCTAAATTTTTTTTGAACGATTTAAGAACCCTGAATGAAATAGGTCGTTCTCAAACAATGAACAAACTAAATGAAGAAAAACGAAGGTGTCCATCTTTTAAAGCGGCAATGTTTCAACGTTTTTACGCAACATCCTCTGAACGTCCGACATATTGCAATATCAGACCTACCACAGCTGTAGGTCAGTCGCACATTTGTTTTTTTTAATCCGACCTACAGACTATAGCCATGCATGGAGCGGGTTGATTTTGAAGGAAGATGCCCTCTTTTAGTAGGTTAGATGTACAATTTTAGTAGGTCGAATATACACATTTTGTAGGTCGGATGTACACTTTTTTTTAAGTCGGATGTACGCTTCATGTAGGTCGTATGTACACTTTTTCAAGGTCGGATGTACACTTTTTGTAGGTTGGATGTACACTTTTTGTAGGTCGGACGGTCATTCATTGTAGGTCAGCCTAACAGTTTTGGTAAGTCAATACACGGTAATGTTGATCCGCTCTACTGCCCATTCGACCTATATTGCAACATCTGACCTATTCAGCAGCTTTTGTCATGCCTAGCGCAGCAGGGTAGAAATAATTAGCTGTACGTAGCTGTCGGACGGCCACTCAATTTTCTAGTTTGGATGGGCACTTTTTGTAGGTGGCATGGGCATTTTTCTAGTTCAGATGGGCACTATTTGTAGGTCGGATCCGAACTTCGAAAAATTCTAAAATTACTTGGTATGAAGTTTACAAAAATATACATATTTTAAGATTTGCATCAAGCTTTTAAAAAATACAATTTTTTAAGTAAAGAAAAAACCTAAAAGAAACGTAAAATAAAAACTTTGAAAATATACATATTTTAAGGTTTGCATCAAACTTTTAACCCTTAAAAAAATATAATTTTTAAGTAAAGAAAAAACCTAAAAAAATACGTAAATATACGTAAAATAAAAACCTAAAACCTTTGAAACATTTCTTGGCATGAAAGTTCCGAAAATATACGTAATTTTAGGTTTGCATCAAACTTTTAACTCTAAAAAAAACTTTTTAAGTAAAGAAAACCCCTAAAATATACGTAAAAATACGTAAAATAAAAACTTAAAAACTTTGAGATATTACTTTGTATGAAATTTATGAAAATATACGTATTTTTAGGTTTGCATCAAACTTTTAAACTCTAAAAAAAATACAATTTTTAAGTAAAGAAAAAACCTAAAAAACACGTTAAAATACGTAAAATAAAAACTTTGAAACATTTCTTGGTAAGAAATTTATTCGTGAATATATTGACACTTCAAAAAATTACTTGGTATGAAATTTACGAAAATATACGTATTTTTAAGTTTGCCTCAAACTTTATAACTCTAAAAAAATACAATTTTTTAAGTTAATGAAAACCTAAAAAATGCGTAAAATAAAAATCTGAAAACTTCATAAGTAAAAAAGTATAAAATACAACTTTATAAGTAAAGAAACCCCCTAAAAAATACGTAAAATAAAAACTTTGAAAAAGTTCTTGGTATGAAATTTACGAAATTATACGTATTTTAGGTTTGCATCAAACTTTCAAAAAATACAATTTTTAAGTAAAAAAAAATTTAAAAAATACGTAAATATACGTAAGTTCTTTACCCAAAAGTTGAGCATACGTATTTATACGTAAAAATACATATTAATACGTATACCTATATAGAGACTTTGGTATATTTAGGTTTTCGGGTTAGTAGGGAGACTCCGTATTGTGTTCTATACACTACAGTTCCGTTTGAGAAGTTAGGTTTCTAATCTCATGAATTTATCAAAAAAAAATTAATTCAAAGCTCTGAAACCTAACTTTTTCATTTCCAATATTCTAGATATAATCGCGTATTGGAAACCAGAATTAATTATTTAGTTAAACCGTATCATAGATTTTATACTTTCAACCTTAATAGTCCCGTAGGAATCTATAGTTAGCCGCAAACAGTCTTCGAATATAAAATAAGAATAATACAATAGCCCCCCCCCCCTTCACATTGTTTTAATCTTCCAGTCAGCTTCTGATACTTTCTCACAGTTGGTTCAACTGATTATTGCTTTGGTCTTTCTAGTCTTCTTAGAGGTTTCATAGGTCTTATACTTCCTCTTTTCCTTTTAAACTACAAAAATTCAAGCTTTGGAATAAAAAGTCAAAATCGAAAAATTTTATAAGTTATAAATTCTAGGAATTTAGTTTAACCGAGTTTCCGGCAGCAAATTAAGTAGTAAACAATTTTTTGGGATTGATAATTTGTTTAGTTTTTAAATTAAAACATTTTATTGTATTATTAGGAACAAATTGATTTTAGAAATTTAGTGAATAATTGTTTGTTCACTGTTCTATATCCAACTAGCTGTAGGGCCGGCGTTGCCCACGAAAAAAAAAAAAATTAAACGTTATTTCTTTAGCCTATAACACCCACGCACCACCCGTGAGTGTCCATAAACGATTTCAACCCATCCGGTCCAACCGTTTTGCCGGCTATACGCAACATATATATATATATCAGTTGAAACGCAACAATCTTCTTATAACATTTTATTCATAAACAAATTGTTTCATGCTTTTATGCAATCATCAGTATGAAATTATATATATATACATATATATATATATATATTTATTTATTTATGTATATACGAATGTCTTGTTTTATAATATAGATTAAGTCTTTTTTATCTACTAGTGACTGTTCTTAAAGACTCATTCTTTATAAATAAAAGTCAGATTAGTGTTTTAAAATGTAAATGCACTTATTTTGAATATGGAATCATTGCACTATTCTAGCAATTTGCTATAAAAATAAAATCTATATGTGGTAATAGAGGTTTTGGGTACCTTTAGAACTGTTCATAAGTTTTTTCTTTTTATCAGTTCCTTTTCCGTAAATTAATGATTCTATTTTTTTTACGGAAATAAGTTAATTGGTTTCATCATTTTTGCAAATAAGGAGGCTGTCGAAGCGAAATCACATTCCCCGTTAATGGGTCCCATTCTTACAATTAAACAACAGTTTTGGGATTCTTGTTATTTTTAAAGTTAAATGTAAGTTATGTTAATCAGTTATTGAATGCATTTTGAAGCACAATGCTTTTTTAACTGTATCCCACACAAAATTTTGGCCCGACCGGACAAGCCGATTTGACGTTTATGGGATAAAAAAAACAGACAAGCCAAGTATAAACATTCTAGGCTTTTAGGGCGCTTCGCAAAATAAAAAAAATTCGTAGATTTTCAAAATTTTTAAAAATCGAATTTTGTTGGAGGCAAATATTTGAAAATTTTATGGTCCGTAAACCTTCCCTGGGGTCTCACAAGTCCCACAAAATTGGGCCCGATCAGTCCAGCTGCTTTGACTTCTTTTTGACACATTCAAAAAGACACCTATTCGCGAGTTCAAAGTTATCAGAGGACCAGCTATGTCCGTATAACCTGTCACTGTATACGAACTAAGGAACTATAGTGATTGTATCCTTATGAAATTTTAAAAATCTGTTTTTGAAAGCTTCATAAATAAATGTTGGGTTTCATATGTCAACTTTTACAGGTGTCAGGATAACCAATGTATAAATGGGTTTGCGCTGTTAGGACCACTTTTCTGGGCTGTCAGCACCTTTTTTTTCGCATTATTTGCGCTGTCTGGACCTCACAAAAAGTTTAAACGGTCGTTATCATGACCTTTATATTGTAATGTTATATCGAAATATTTTGGTATTCGAAACTCAAAAATTTAGAATAACAGTTTCAAAACGAAAATCAAAAGACCGTTAATTATAATACGAAATCGTTCTAATTACAGTGAAGAAAATTATATATTTAACAATAAACATTAAAAGGGAAATGTTTCAAAAAGTGAACATTCATATAATTCTTATTCAAAGACATCTGAACATTTTTAAATAAGATTATTTATTAAAGATTATTGTTAACTCTCAAAAATATTTGCTTCCTCTTAATACTTTATTACTGTACATTGTATGTATAACACTGTACACTGTGCAGGGTGTTCCACATCATATTGGATCACAGACTACAGGCCTATAGTGTCCCGGCACGCCATGCTACAGTTCCATGTAATATTTTTTTGACTGACATCTCACGGCCACTTGTTGCATTCAGGGGTTAAGTTTTACAACTATACAAATACTCCAATTTTAAACATAAAACATAACGTTTATGAATATTGTCTATTTTTAAAGATTTTGCATTTCGTATTCAAAGGATCCCTGAATACAGATGTCTCCTGATTGGTCGTGTACAGTACTTGTACACAATAGAACATGCTGTGGAAAATATCGCATATTATAGGTGTTAATCGATCTTTGTAACTCTCTTAGCTCTGTATTGGATACAGAAAATACAAGGTTCTCCC